TGGGCAATTGCCTTTTTGACATCTAGGGATATTGCAGCATCTGGGAAATCTGGTTGTATTACTGGATTACAGACATCTGTGTATTATCAAACCACGAGCTTGATTATAATCTCAACAATTAAAAAGGGACTAATTTCATCACAGTAAAACTGGTGAGATCAGAATCTGGTGCTTTATGTTTTAAACAAACCAACCCAATCTGGACATATTGTTCATAGCTAATTCTAATTTAATTAGAAGAACTTTTACATATATGTTAGTCGTATTTTTTTGTATCCTGAAAATTCAGTTTGTTCTCTAAAGTTATCATTGATTCTTTGAAGAAATCTGTATGCATTTTCTGTATTAAGAATTTTATAATAAATGAAATAATATGCTGACATTTAATATTAATTTTTATTGAATAAAGTTTTAACAAAGGCAAATACCTAAAGGGACTAGATAGAAAAATATTAACAAAACAGCATGGAGCATAAGGGTCATAAATGTGAGGAAGACATTAGCACTTAAAGAGAACCAAAAAAAAAAAAAAAAGTTCAATGCAACACTTGCAATGAGCCTCATAGAACCATCAAATAGAAAAATGTAAAGATTAGTTCCCCTGATTAATGAGATTTATTAATCAGTGCTGTTTGCACCAGTTCAGCTAACCAGTAGGCCACCATTGCTCAAAAAGCATAAATGAATAGAGATGAAGGTCTTGAGTTAGGCTGAAAGTAAAGAATTTGAATAATGGGACAAGAGATTAGGCTTAACATCAAGAACAAAGCGTTTGCAAACAATACTCTATGCTTTCTTGGCTTTAGAACAGACATATTAAGAAATGGGATAAATTAACAACCTGTGTGCAAAAACCATCTTTAGCGCTTCTTGTTCATTATTAGATCTGCTTTATGGAATTTCCAGAGAGTCCATTAATATCTATTGCATTTGTTTGGAAAGATCTTGAGAAATATAATGGGTAACGAATAAGGAGTAACGTCTCAACTCCTGATATTAACCAAGACCTTTTAATTTCAGGGTTTCTCCTAGGCTTTTAAAAAAAGTGCCTTCAGTTTACATGGGTCCCTTGAGATACAGTAATACAAATAAATCTGACTCAGATCCATGCCTCTCTCCAGTTTTATTTTTTAACTTGTGGTACTTTGTGATGGAAATTTTGAAAGACTTCAAGAATGTGCATCTGAATTTATGGACAAGCATTTATGAAGCTCTAGACTCTTGTGCAAAGTATTAAACATACAAATTAGGACCAATACCCAAAACATGAAATTAACCCAAGTCCACTAAGGTTAAGACTGCCCCAACATCCAATACAGTCCACCTTCTCAGAAAAAGCATGGCAGAAAAAGAGGTGAGCTTTGCAGAGTGACCTGATGGTCAACAAATTTGGGCTCTGGTGGATCAATGGGGACAACACATTTCAAAGTTGAGACTATTTCACTAAAAAAACCATTGCCTTCAGTCCCTTCCTGACAGAATTAGAGGGATGTTAGGTTAAAGTGCTTCAGTGGATTTTAGCTGTCATAGCTGGAGTCGTAGTTGGAGAGGCAATCCCAGAGCTACCTATGACCTACACCATTTTAGGGCTTTATAAATTAAAAACATCTTAAATTAATGTGGAAATTAATAAGAAGCTAGTGTAGATTGATGATCAACACAGGTGCGAAGTGCTCTGCACTGTTGCCAAGCACACAAGCTGCCACATTCTGTACTAGCTGTAATTTCCGGGTGGCATTAAAGCATATAGGATGTTGAAGTAATACAATCTGGAGGTGACAAAGGCATGAATTACGGTGGTGACATCCCAAAGAAAAGGTCACAACTTCCTGACCTAGCACAGATGATACAAAATATTCTTGGCCACTACTAGAAACAGCTGAGGATCCAGTAAGACCAACAGCCCTTCAGTAGAAGAGAGCTGATATTATTGTTGATGTTTTACTGGTAGTTTGCCCCAGCCAATGAGCATGCTTCCTATCTGGACTGAATCTCAACTAGTTTGCCCTCTTATTCCAGCCAGCCAGTGGGTAAATCTATAAAATGAACCATCTGAATTCCATGAAATGGGGAGAGGACAAATGTATATCAGCTTTCTTTGGTGAGCACTGATTTTTGGTGATTTAATACCATTTAGTTTTTTAAGACGTCTTGCTCCCAGATCTGCCCCAAATTAAAAATGCTTAGTAGGGGCCTATCCTTATGAGTTCAGGGAATCCTTGCTAGTACACTGAAATTGTCAGCAACTGCTCTCCGACATCACACTCTCAGTGCTCTGGAAATATCCAGGAGCTAGGGAATTCTGGCTCTTTGAAAAAGCACAAGACACAGTATTGCTTCAAGGCCCAACTGCACAGAGAGCCTTAAGTGTGTAAAAGTTAGAGAAAAAACTTACTTGCAGGCTGCAAATTTATTCGCTGGTTTGGATGCACATTAACCATTTTCAGCTTTTGTTGCTCAGTGCCAGGCTTTTATTGGAGAGGTTTACACAGAAAACTTACACAGGGACAAACATGGCTACAACAACACTGCATACAGAATATTTAAAAAATTCAATTCAGTCTGGTAGGGCAGACAATTTTTGTCAGGAACTTATCCACAGCTAAGGACATTTTTAGGAGGTTCAGACTACATAGTATATTTTGGTATATCCTTTGTACTTTTTTGGCAATGTTTGTTTTCCTACAGTGTTAAATTCTAAGACTATTATTTCAATTCTCCCCCCCCCCACAATGCTTTTCTGATTTTTCCACTACCTGTGTTCCATTTCTTTTCTCCTCTTCTCCCATGTTTCCTAGCACCCTGCATTTCCTGTTCTGCCTCCATTCTCCCTAACACATTCTTCCTAGCTAATCCTTCCCCTATCCTCGTTATCTATCATCTCTTACCTCCCTTGCCCACCCCAGGAGTAGGGGAACACAGGGAAACTTGAGAGCATTTGTTTCTTCTACCTATTTAAAGAGGGGAAAAAGCTCATGGGGACATTTCTCCCCTCATTCCTAACTCAGCAGAGGACCAGAGAATGGTCAAGCAATGGGGAAACCTCTCCCCTTTTGTGGTAAAGGAGATGGGTTGAGTATTGTGGTTCTCTGCATCTCCCTTTCTCATCCAAGGAGAAAGGCGGTAACTCAGGAGACACCTCTGTCCCTGCCTTTCCAGCTGAAAGTCCTCTTCGCTTTCCCCGCTCATAGGGCTTGATCCTGCAACCACTGACTTCAGTGGTTCAGGATCAGGCACACACCTCTCTGTCCTGGCTCCCAATATTGTACTCAGCAAAACAAGCCCAGTAGTTGCAATCCCCAGAATCATTACTATATTAAACAGTCACCTCAATTCTCAGGCAAATAACTCCATTAAAGTTTCAGTTGCTACAATAAATAAAGAAAATACAAAAATATCAAAATATTAGTTAAAAAAGCTTACAATGTAATTTAGCTTAAGTGTCCCAAAGAAATGTTAGAAATAGGATACTCTGCAAACACTTGGCATCACAAATGGCAAAGTGATGGGTACAGTGGAAAATTCCATAAGCCTCCCCCAAAACTAAAACAATTTAAAAAGTATGGAAATAATAATAAATGTACATAGATTTGAACATCCCTACATTACATACAAATCTACACATTTGCTTTGAGGGAAATTTTGCCTGCATTTGAATGTTGATGAATAACGTGCAGGGAGCATACTGAAAGATCTACCTGGCACCTTGACTCCAATGTATTGGACTTCATGCCTTTGAGACTGATGAGGCAATGTGGAACTTGAGTCTGAACTGTATGTGATAATTCAGCTCTACCAAAAATTACAACTCCCAGTAGGACCACCATCCAATTCTATTGTTTTTGAGAACTTCTTCCTTGAAAACAGCAGCACTGTCCTGGAGTTGGTCTTGCTGAATGCACAGAGGAATGCCAAGCACTAATGGGTTCTATCCTGCAAGATGCTGAGCACTCTGGCCCTGATCCACTTAAGCCTGTGTAACTTTAAGGACATAAGTAGTCCCACAGAAATCAGCGTCTTAAGTTCTTTGCTGGATCAAGGCCAGAATGCTCAATACCCTGCAGAACTGAACCTTATGGTCAGGCATTCATTTTAGGACTAGACAGCACCAGGAAGCACCTTTGAATAGAGGTGGCTTGGAGATAAATAATGGTTCTCACTAGGTTTGAAGCCCAAACTGATCTGTTATTTCTCAGTTTCTATACTGAAATAATGGAATAGGATTATTTCTTAGTTAAAAAATAGAAGACAATAGGTTGAAATTAAACATTCTACAGAAAAACAACACATTCAGCAAAAAAACCACAAGGAATGCCATGTTGAATTCACAACATATCAGCAGAGGAAACAATATTTTTCTTTATAGAGGAACTATTAAAGAAAAAGAATAATACAGGCAAGAATCTCTTCACAGAAACGTAACCACTTAAGCAGATCAGAAGGAGCATCTCATTGACAGGTGAAATGATACTTAGCCATTATCCTGCTCAAGCAGGTTGTCCACTGCTGACCAAGCGGTGTAATGGCTATAGATTCTGAGTTCTGAATATTCTGCAAAAAAAAAAAAAAAGACAGGCACAACGGACACATAATACTGAAGTTCAATTATAATACTGTAACTGAATCTAGAGGGAAAACTGCATTACTGAGTGACAGAGTGCCATGTTCATAATTAATGTGCTCTGCTAATCAAGTGGAAGAATTCATATAGTATCTGCTACTAATAAGCAGATTCTTAAAAGTATTACATTGTGAAAATTATTCTAGAACAGATTCTTCATCACTAAGATTTTAAGATAAAGGAATAGAAGCAAATTCTTGAGAAAAATGTTTGATTATAAGCTCTTCAGGATTGTATCTTCCTATGTATTTGTACTGTGGCTGGCTCTGGGGGCTTCTATAGTATAAATATATAATAAATATGGAATCAAACTTAAAAACAGTTACTTTCTTTCTTTCTATTGGCATTTACTTCTCTTTTCACACCACTGGACTTGCTCTAAGACTAGCAAAGATATTTAATGTGATTTATAAAATATGTTCCCATCAGTGACATCTAGGTACAGGTATAACATCATGACAGACAGGGAGCCAGATCTGTAGGATGCCTTATAAGTACATGATAATGAAAGTTTCAATGTAACAGTCTTGGAAATGAGAATGACCATTTCTCAAACACTGCACATAATTAAAAGGACACCGAGCATCTTAAAATATTTGTTTACATACTGCAGCCTATAAAATATTATCCTAAGACCAAATATTTAACATGAGTACTAAAATGATAGCAGTAATGAGGGAACATATCAGGTCTCAATAGACAATTATTAAAAACAGAACCAATAGAAAATAAGAGTGATGAAGAATTATCATCTAATATTTTGAAGTTTATGTAAATCAGGTAGCAAGTAAAGGGAGCAGAGATACTGATTCTTCTTCCTGTAGAGCATCAGAACATTTGTTCAGTGTCTGAACAATACAGTATTATAGTTTTAATCTAAGTTACTGCTTTTAAAAAAAGTGTTCAGTGCCAGTTTCCATTATCACGGTTTTGGAGTGTCCACTAAAGAACTTCAATGGAATTCTTCAGTGCAGGCTTGGCTATGATCCCTTTTGCAAGTTTGATATAAGAACAGAGGGTTTATTTATTTATTTAGTTTTACTGCAGATTAGTTAAAATTATAGGCTTATTTTATTTACAGTATTTAAAGTTTAGTTTTCTTTCCCCAACAATGAAATATGTGGGAGGGATTACTATGTTACACAATGTAAAATAGATTTTAAAAAGCCAAACCAAAGCTTGTGAGTAAAACTGTACAATGTTTGTTCTATGCTCAAGCACATTGCACCATCAAATGAAAAGTGCATAAATTCTATCATCATGCCCAAAAGGCCTACTGTATGATCCAAAAATCCAAACAGACATGGAAAGTAAATACATACAGGTTTAGATACAGTGCCAAATGAAAAGAAAATACTATGAACTATCTCTGGAAAGCTTCTTGTCACAGGAAGGAGCATGGTTACTTCTGAAGTAAAGCAGCACTTTTCATGTCGGACACAGAACTGCAAAAGAACCACAAATATACAGGCATAAACCTCATTGAACATTGTGCATAAACACATTGCAGGATACAGTAAACAAACATGAAGAATGCTTAGTTCTACACTCTAAAAGCAGTGAATAAAATCTAGAATTGAAATAGATAATTAAACTGGAACCCTCTTCCCAAAAGAAAACTTTATAACAAAAAATGCTATCACTAACTAATATTAACACAGAAATGAGTTAACTAAAGATCATGTCTTAAATAATGGTGTTTTTACACTTTACAAGCTTTCTATCCTGAGGAATTAACTATAATTTCATGGAACATTCAAGAAAAAGTGGAAGTACTACCATGCAGTGAAATATTAAAATATGTATTGAAAATTTCAGATGACAATTCTAAGCTTGATGTGTGTACCCTGTGGATCATATAAAGTGGGAAGACAAAGACATGTCCTTCACATGTTTCTCATTCCTGTTTCACATCTAAAAGACACAAACCTCAGAGCAATCCAGCTTTCAAACCAATGCTAGCACAACACAAAAGCAAATAAAGAAGTCAGGTGTAACAAAGAAGCACAAAAACTTTAAATAATAAAGACAAGAAAATAAATTCCCTCATTATCAGAAATACTTTCACAATTTAAAAATAAAAACACTGACAGTTACATTTTTGCCTTTTAATTTAAAACAAAAATTCAGTTTCAGCCCTTATTGGTAACTTAAAAGATCAGGTGCGGGATAAAAGAAACAAGTTCAAAGATGGGAAATCATACCACTTCCACAGTCTAAATAGTTGGGGGTCGGAAGAATAATTAAAAACTATTTAATTTGGCAGAAAGACAAATACACACATTTTCTTCCATTTTACTTGGCGGTATGTGTAGCAATATTTTTCTTGAACTACCTTAAGTCATAACCACTATTTTTTCATTTATGGGCAACGAGGCAAGAATACTCAGATTAGTTACAAGTTTTAAGCCAGTCAGTTTGTGTTACTGTAAGAATGGAAGATTTTAAAAAGGAGCTTACTCTGGCTAAGTGTTCATATGGACTTAATAAAGTAATTTTTCAAATAGGAAAGTATTATCTAAACTTATAAATGTCTGTGTCAAGAATAAGGAAATCTAATTGGCTTTCATAGATGAGTTTATCATAATGGTAATATATAATGTATGCAAAAAACCTACTGTAATGTATTATTAAGGCTAGAGATTTAATTTAACAAATCAAAAGATTCAAGCTATAGATATCTATTTAGGTTTTTTTTACACATGGCCATCAGCAAATGTATCTTTGGCCCTTTGCATTCATGTATTTCAACAAAGTCTACATATAATCATGCCACACAATAATGAAAAATTCTCCATACTATATTCTCACCAATTACAGAAGTTTTATTCCTTTGTGTATAATGATGTAATATTTACTGAATAGCATCCCATTATGTGATCATGCAAAGAAATTACAGTATTGTAATGCATACTGTGTATGCAAGTAGGCAGAGTGAAGGCTGCTGTGAGAATATTAAAGGGACATGATTAACTTAATCATACTTATCTGAACATTTTGTACCTACTATTATTGTAAGTAACACCGAAGAACACTCACTAGCTGAAATTACAGAAAATACATTCATCTCTGCTCTGCAGTTTGCACAAAGTGCTGTAAAATGCACAAACTAAAGAGTTATTTTCATTATTTCCCCTGCTTTTGTTGATCTTTTACATGATAATATGAGAAGAATGTTTTTAAAAAGAAAAATATGATTGTGAAAGCAAAAAAATTGGGAGATTAACTGTGGAGAAGGTATAGCACCCAAAAATACTTTTAACTCATTATTTGAAATTTCCAATTTCAAACTGATGGTATACTTTTATTTAACTGAAAATTTTAAAATCTTGGCCTTGATTCATTAATATAGATTTTTCCTGACACTAAACACATGCCTCTCCTTCAGATCACTAACATCTTACACTTCTGCTTCCTCCATCCTGGCTTGGGATTGAAACATGGCCATTATGGTTTTCAAGTGCCAATCATATTCACAACACTTGCACAACACCTTCAAAAGACAAGCCTGGGAGCTTAAATTCATAACTTTGCTACACACTGAAAATCATGGACTTAATAAAGACATTGTATTTATGGCTTATTAGAACAATCTGTAACCCACTAAAACCACCTTTTTTGTTTTATGATTGCAGAGGTGTTAACTGGCCGCTTCATCACTTCTCTTACAATATGTGTTAACTACATATGCTAAACAATCTGTTCCACCTTGTATTAGTGGTGACACTTTGGGTACGTCTACACTGCAATTAGACAACCATGCCTGGCCCATGCCAGCTGACTTGGGTTTGCAGGGCTAGGGGCCTATTTACTGTGGTGCAGATGTGTGAGCTCAGGCTGCAGCCCAAGCTCTGGGATCCTCCCACCTCACAAGATCTTAGAACCTGGGGTCCAGTCCAAGCCTGGACTTCTACACCACAATTAAACAACCCCTTAGCTTGAGACCCACAAGCCTGAGTCAGCTGGCATGGCCCAGCTGTGGGTGTATATTGCAGGGCAGATATACCTTAAGAGTATCTTTCCCAGACCTGAAGAAGAGCTCTGTGTAAGCTTGAAAGCTTGTCTCTTTCACTAACAGAAAATGGTCCAAAATAATAGATTACCTCACCCTCCTTGTCTCTCAATCGTATTTAGAAAGATTTGAACACATCTGGAATGCAGCCTAGACAGTGTCTGATTGAATTTCACATTAGTAAGTATTTCCATTTTAGATCTAAAAATCATACATTGACCCATAACTTGCTGGGTAATGAATTACAATGTACTAAATATAAATCACTAAGCCCCTTTCATTACCAATAACATAAGGATGGAAACAATGGTGAATTGTGACAAAGAATAACAAAAGGATTTTAGACCGCATCAAAAATAGTATGAACAAAACAAGGGAAATAGTTATTCAATTGTGCAATACCATGAAAAGACCCTGTCTGGAACTGTGGGTCTAGTTTTGGCAACTTGCCTCTGAAGGGATACACATTGTCACTTTGTATAAAAATGCTTTAATGAAATCCAGCGAATCTCTATTAACCTCAACTAATCAAAAAAAGCAATCACATTTGGCAAGATCTGTTATTTACGAACATATGCTGTTTGTTGCTTAGTATTCCATTTACCTATAGATGAACACAGATCTTTCTCAATGTTTGTTCCATTATACCACTAGGTACTGAAAACTTCGGCTTGACTAAGGACTGGGAATGGCTGAGCCATTACAAACATTGAATCTATCGCCCCTTGTAAGTATTCTCACACTTCTTATCAAACTGTCTGTACTGGGCTATCTTGATTATCACTTCAAAAGTTTTTTTTTTCTCTTACTTAATTGGCCTCTCAGAGTTGGTAAGACAACTCCCACCTGTTCATGCTCTCTGTATGTGTGTATATATATCTCCTCAATATATGTTCCATTCTATATGCATCCGAAGAAGTGGGCTATAGCCCACGAAAGCTTATGCTTTAATAAATTTGTTAGTCTCTAAGGTGCCACAAGTACTCCTGTACATTTTAGAGAGGATCCGAAGAAGAACTATATAACTGTTCACTGGAATGAAGGGTCTTGGCTATGAGGATAAGCTGAAGTCATATTTTTAAAGTAATTTTATTTTTAACATTAGTTTTAAAGACTTTTTTGAATGGCAAATGCAATGCAAAGTATTTTGATACCAATCACAGAGCTCCACTAAATCATCCTTTCCCCCCCTGCATAATGTGATGCCTCACTGGAAACAGCCCCAAGTTGACTGGCCTTTTTAGCTATTTTACTGCATTACATATTCACATCTAATTTGTCCTAGGTCTCTTTTGGCATTGGTACCTTTGAGGATCTTCCCTTCCACTCACTTAGATGCATTACCTGGCATTTTTACCAGTTAGAGCTCAATTTATTAATTCCTCCCTCTATTTCATACCGTTTATAGCCTTTCTGCTTTACTAGTTCTCACAACACCTAATTTAGTACCAACTTCCAATTTATTATTTATCATTTGTAGCATTATAGTGTCTAGAGGTCCTATCCAAGATCAAGTCCTATTGTACTAAGTGTTGTAATATACACAATCAGATAGAGTACCTGCCTTGAAGACCTCACAGTTTATTTAGACAAGACAAGCAAAGCGGGAGAAGAGAAACAAAGGCATAGAAAAGAGAAGTGCCCTGGCCCTAGATCACACAGAAGATCAGCAGCAGAGCTGGCAACAGAACTCAGGTCGCCAAAGTCCTTGCCCAGTGCAACAGGCAGTAGACTAAGCTGTCTTTCCCAGTTCATTAGCATGTTGTTCTACCCACTCAACCATACCAGTAATGAAGCTATTAAAGACCAAACAATACAATAAGTTCAACAAGACCCTACCAGACATTCCAACTCAACACAGTAGTTATTACCTGTGTTTAGTCCTCCACAAAGTAGATAATCAACATGTCAGTGCTCAAGCATATTTGAGAGAACTTGACACTTCGTATAAAAATGCTTTAATGAAATCCAGCAAATCTCTATTAACCTCAACTAATTTTTTGATTCTATCAAAAAAGCAAATCACATTTGGCAAGATCTGTCCTTTACAAACATATGCTGTTTGTTGCTTAGTATTCCATTTACCTATAGATGAACACAGATCTCTCTCAATGTTTGTTCCATTATACCACTAGGTACTGAAAATGGCAATTGCTAGAACTGTTATAATATTTTTATTTTCTCCTCCAATCCTTAGTTCTAAACAACTTCTTCAACAATAACTGCCAGAGCTTTCTCATGTTATCCAATTCCCTTAATATGCATATTAGCCAGATGTGCTGGCCTGAATACTTTCATATTTTTTAAGTATTCCCTTCTCTGCTTTTTATCAAGAGTGCAAATTGTGCCTCGATATAAGGGTTCACTGAAGATGATAGCCACTTAATAAGGACTTTTAGTAGAGAACTATTTTTCTGCTTGAGAAACAGTATTCAGGACTAGAAAAAACTCAGCTAATTATATTGACAAGATTCAGTATTATCAAGACTTCACACAGAGCTGCACAATGTGCCATTATCACAGAACAACCCTGCCCACTCTTTTAGGGAAAATAGAGGTCCCTAGCAAAACAAAAAAGTCATTTGATTTTAACATACTTCAATAACTTTCATGATGAAATTAACACTTATTTTTTTCTGTTTTTCATTTCTTGACTCAACCTTAACAGCAAGTAATCTGTCTTGTATCTATCAAAATAGCTAAGACTAGAATCAATGATAGCAAATCAGGTCAGTTATCACTAAACACACATCTATGCTTCTAGACAGTGGCATGCTGTCCCAAAATCCTCACTGTTATTCTGGTCTTGATCAAGATACCGTCAACATTTCCAATGAAGAGAGACTACCTTCAAAAAAGCAGGTAAAACATTTTACCCTGAAATTCAGGGATGAAGTTGAAATTCTTATGCAAGAATGGTTAATGATAGCAGCAAATGGCTCCAAGGCACTGCAACATCAAAGCCTGCCTGAACAGATTGTTTAAAAGATCTAATCCTCCATTAATAATCCTTTGAAAGAACTGTCTACATGCCAGATAACAGACTAACGTCTGAGAACATTCTGGGTATTTTTATATTGCACTTGGAGATGTGACTGCAGCTCATACAAACATACCTAAGACAGTTTGAGTACCAACAGCAGTGAAGCCATGGCTGCATGGGCTAGCCACCCAAGTACACAGCCGGGCTCTCTGGCAGGCTTGTACTCAAGTTGGCTAGCCCATTCTGCAGCTCATGCTGCTGCAGCTTCACTATTAGTACCAAACTAACTAGATTGAACCTAGCTCAGGTATGTCTACACATGCTGCAATCACACCTCCGATTGCAGTATAAATATACCCCTTAGTCCTCAAATGAAGCCTAATGGAGCGCGAGACCACTGACACCAACTGTGGAGGTCGTCATGCATCAGAAGGTCTTGGTGGCAGAGCAATGGAGAGATTGTATTGCTCCAGGAACAGCTACAGAATATCTCACCGCTTGTTGACATTGAAGCTTGATGCAGAGGAGGAATATTCTCCAACTCTCAATTCTGAGTGACGTCAGTGCTGAGGTTTAGGTGGCATCAACATAGGTGCCTACAAAGCCTGTCAATGCCAACTGTTCATGCTTCAAGAATAACAGAGGTACAAATGCTTCCTTCAAGTCTCCCAAATAGTGATCATGCTTTGAACTATTCCTTAACTCAGGGAATTTATTCTTTTCCAGCACAATGGCAGATTTTGCACAGACGGGGGTTTGCGTGGTGGAAGCCTACTTATATTGGCTGCTTCTGCTTGAATGGTACTGGCAGCTATCAATGAGCAGTCCCTGAATGGTGGTGGAAGCCTGCTTTTATTGCCTATCCAGATTATCGAAGAAGTTCATAACACTATAATACAATACCTATCCCTAGATCTGAAAGTGCTTTACAAAAAACAGCTAAAACGTCTTTGGATTCAATTTTAAATTGGTATGCTGAATTTAAAACAGATCATTTGTAAACTTAACAATTCCTATCTAAACAATTTACTGAAGCATGTCTCAGGATACCATCCAGCTATAACTAACAGGCTGAGTTAGGCACATCATGTAGTATCCTCGTCAAACCATTTAGATATTACTTTAAATTGCTGCACTCCTTGTGAGTGAAGACAAGGAGTGAAGCGGTGAAGACAAACCGGCCGTGCGGAGCGGTGAAGGAAAGAAAAAACAAAAACAAAATACCTGCGGGGCGGCGGGAGCGTGGGTGCAGGGGGACTCCCGGCCCTGCAGACCCGGGGCAGCGGAGTGTGCACCCCGGCTGGCGGGGGGGGGGGGGGGGAAGGGAGAGAAGGGGGGCCCCCAGGGCTTCCTTAAGCGGGGCGCTGCCACGCGGCCCCTCCGTGGGCGCCTCCTGCCGGGAGGGCTCCGGGCCGCTCCGGTCGGCAGGCAGGGAAGGACGCGGACTGCCCTCCCGGCTTGCTGCAGGGCACTACCCTCCTCCGCCCCCCTACAGGGCAGCGGGAGCAGCAAACCAAAAAGAAAAAACCTGCAGGGGCGGCCAAAGCGGTGAAGCACAAAAAAAAAAAAGGATTAGATGGAATGCCGCCCCTTGGAATCTGCTGCCCCAAGCACGAGCTTGCTCCGCTGGTGCCTGGAGCCGGCCCTGGATGCAGACAAATTGGAGGGAGTTTAAGAGAAAAGACCAAAATAAGTAACGAAGGGATTAACTACACTAAACATGCATTGTATAGTTTAGTTCAAAAATAAAGTGGAGTATGATAACTAAGGGAGAGAAATGATTTAAAATGAAATAACTAGTAGTGATGGAATGAACTAAGAATGCAATTTCAGGTGAAATGTCTAGAATCCTTATGATGATCTCTATTAGACTGTGGAACTGTTTTTCAAGGTAAATGATGATCCCCATTGTCTGATTTTCAGTGTGTCAGGCAATGTATAGCACTGGAAAATATACAGCAAGTACACTCAAACCTTTTAATTTTAAATGGAAACAGACAGAATAAAGAAAAATATCCAAGGACATTGTTTGTGGAAGATAGCCACTGATGGACCTATTAGCCAGAATGGGCAGAGATACAAAACCATGCTCTGAAGTGTCCCTAGCCTCTGTTTGCCAGAAGCTAGGAATGGGCAACAGGGGATGGATCACTTGATGATTACCTGTTCTGTTCATTCCCTCTGAAGCACCTGGCATTGGCCACTGTCAGGAGATAGGATACTGGGCTAGATGGATCATTAGTCTGACCCAGTATGGCTGTTCTTATATTTACTAGTGATCAGAAGGAAAATTTCAAATTTATACAAGTCTACAAGCCCTGTATCAGCAATGTACATTATTTCCACAGATTATTTAAGTAGTTCATTGTTTCAGAAAAACCTAATACATTTTGAACTATTCATATTTTACTTTGTATACTAGATCTTAAATGATTTGGTTTTGATACTATGATGTCCTATGGCGCTCTTGTAATGTGCTTTAGACCATCACAAAATAAATTACTGTCACGTTTTATTTATGGTGTGACATGCTTAGGGGCTTCTGGGCACATAAAATAAAAAAAAGCATAGTTTGATTAGAAGATAACAGACCTAGTAATTCATGAATGCCACAAGAACAGCATTTTAAAACATATATTTAATATACCTCATATTAACTTAAAATAAAAGATCCCAGCTAATGCATGTATACTAACAGACATACTCACCCTTTAAAATGTAGTCTGTTAATAAGCTTGGCACTTTCTCGCTGTCCTCTTTCATAGCATAAAGGACTGAAAAGTATGGGAGGGGAAGGGTGGATGAGAAAAAGCAATAATTCAGATCATTAGTCAAATTAAAGATGTTACTTGAACAACCACATTGAAGATACTTTAACTACTCATCTAGATATTGCATCCATATCAATTAGAAAATATGTAATTGGAATACTGAAAATATGAATGGCAGACACATGGGGGCTGTTCCACACCCCTTTCATATGCATAATTCTAACGTAAATCTATAGCGTATGCACATAAGAGCCAGGGAATTGGGTCAAGGAGTACTGTATAAGAAGACTCTTTTTTAAAACCACACTGAATTTTTAATTTTTTGTTCTTTAACATGATTAATCATATCAGACATAGGTGTTTTTGTTTGTCATGTATTTCAATGCACTTTTGTTATAAAAATCAATATAAACAGTAAAGAAAAACGAAAACATGGTACCAACATCTCTCATTCCACTTAGCAGCTATCAATATTGTTTTGGAGTTTTAAACCAAGATCTTTACAATGGGGAAAACTGTCTAACAGGATATTGAAATTATAAATCCTTTAATGTTTCAGTATTTTTTCATGTTATTCCCCCTAGCACTGGGCTTTAGTAGGCCAAATTTACTTTCAGCTGTGCAGCTACAGAAGTTCTGTAAGTTTCACCAGGTTATGTATTATGCTGTATTATTTCACCCTCAGATATGGCTAGAGAAATAATTGTGCCATTACACTCCCACTTCACCTTTCCCCATCAACTGGAGAAGAATCTGTGACTCCATTCACAGCAATTAAGCATTTAAGAAACAAGGTGGAAGACAAGAGAGCATACTGACATTCCTAGAATGTGGTGGTTCTCTTCTCTGACAGTCTTTAGACATGAAAAGATCCCTGTAGGGGCACATGCTAAAATTGAACTATCCCAGCTAATAACTTCATTAGGGTTGGAGCCATCAGGAAGGAAGAGAAAGTTCCGTCAACTGATTTTTCCAACCACGGCCCAGGGAGGATACCAAACACCTGACTGCATTTGGAACTGATTTTGACAGAATTCTTTTGAGACAAGCTTTCTGCCGAGGGTAAACATTCAGATTTGCAGATGGACAAGATGTGGAGTTGGAATAAAGAATCTGTAGTTATGGTTGTGAACACTACGCTTGCCCAAAAAAGGGCAAGTCTTCAAAACATTTAGTAAAAAAAAAGCTAAGATGAAGCCACAAGTTTTTGATCTAAAGAAGCAGAAAGGGTGAACAGTTGTAAAAATCAAACTACAATTGAGGGTAAAAGGTAGAGAGTTGACCAAGAGGGTGAAAGTAAGTAAAAAAAGAATGCCTATAATTTCAAATTCCATAGTAAAGATTGGGGAGAAATTTTCAACGACACAAATAGCAGTTAATATCAATGGGAAGTTAGATGCCTAACTACCCTTTGTCCCTTTGAAAAATGTCCTGATCCAAAGTCTACATACCAACACCATGAATTGGGTCGGAAACTGCCTGTTTGCTATGTGGTCTGTGTGTTTCAGAGTAACACATATCATAATATTAAATATAAGAAATTAAAGTCTGACCTTTTCTTTGCATATATAAAGACGAACTCCCATCTTTCATAGCCTCCCATATGGCAAAACCTGACATAGCAGAATCTTTGCCAAAAATAAGATATTTTAATTTATTAATTTTTTTTATTAGGTACTTAAATATATTGGAGTTCAAACGCTGTCTTTGTGGTTTCCATTTACTCAAAATATTCAGTTAAAAGTTAAGTAGTCTGATAGCTAAAACTGTTGAAATTAATCTAATCCCTTAACAATATTAGAAAGCAAAACATTACTGTGAAGATCCTACGTTTAATTTAATAATACTGAAAGTCAACTCTTATGTAAGAACTATTTCAGCAATCAGGATTTCATCTAGTGTTTTACAGCCGGTGGCAGTTATTACAAGAAGGAACTCCTGGAATGCGAAAGAAATTCATACCCACAGGAATTTAATTTATGCAGACTGAATAAGCATCATACTACTTAAGTACTAAAAATGTTAGAAAAACTTTTGCAGGCTCCTACTATCCAAGAGGATGCTACATTTATTTCTGAAAATGTTTCAGATCTCTTGGGAACATTCATATGGTTTGAGGAATGCAAAGTGCTTTTTCACTTAGGTTGTGCAAAAATTTCACTCTGTATAAGCTGGCTAACAGTGTTAGCTGTCGATAAGGATAGCCAATAATTAGTGAGAAATGAATTATAAAAAAACAACAACAGTATTTGAAAAGAAAATAACACTGAAAAGTCAGACAACTACCATGAACCACAGTAGACTAAACAACCTACTGGCAAAAGGACCCAATTTAGTTAACTTGCCAACTGTAGAACTTTTTTTGCAAGCATTTAGAGTTGGATCCGAAAGAGATCAAACTATTAATGAGAAGATTCTACTTTTACATGCAATGCTTGTTTTATGTTTGGAAATAGGCAGCTGTGAGGCTTATAACACAGAATACAGAAAAGACATTTCCATTGCTGGTCCCTGGAGCAGTGGACCTTTAACTATAGGAAAAACCTCTGTTAACTGCCCTGGCTTACTTATGCTTGTCTGGTTTCAGAGTAGCAGCCGTGTTAGTCTGTATCCGCAAAAAGAACAGGAGTACTTGTGGCACCTTAGAGACTAACAAATTTATTAGAGCATAAGCTTTCGCCTTATGCATCCGAAGAAGTGGGTTGTAGCCCACGAAAGCTTATGCTCTAATAAATTTGTTAGTCTCTAAGGTGCCACAAGTACTCCTGTTCTTTGTGCTTGTCTGTTGCTCCATATTCAACTAAAGAATGTTGAGAAGTATATCCCTCTGTAAGTGTTCTCAACACAAGAGGAATGAAAGAATCAGAAGCACAGCATTTACCGACTAGCAGCATTTAATAAGCTCCAGAATGCTCATGGGATAATCATAATACCGTATGACTATTCCAGAATACTATATTTATCTTTATGTTGAAATAAAATATTCAGTGTTCGTAGCTTTAAATAACCTGTTCAATATTTGCCTCAAAATTGCACAAGCAAGAAGCCAGCCAAGAAATCTGCTACTGAGGGCATGTCTACATTAGAAACGTACATCGACCTACGTTAGGTCGACTTACAACCATCACAGTAATTACCACGGTGGTTAATGCCCACATTATCCTCCTTTTGTTGATGGTGCGTGTCCTCACCAGGAGTGCTTCCACCGATTTAAGAGGGGCAGTGTGGGAGGCTAAGAATCTTGGCCTCTCAGCTCCACATGCAGCTCCCCATGACTGGGAGCCTGGCCACCCCCCCACTGGGCACATGGCTCCCTGGCACCGGAAGCCTGGCTGCCCCCAGGAGGCTCGAGGACTTCAGGCACGAAGCTCCCTGCTGGGACCCCGGCTGTGGCAAGGAGCGGGGAGCCAAGAGCCCGGGAGTGCAGCTAGGCTCCTGGCAGCGGGAGCCTCCGTGCAGTACCAGGGCTTCCTGAAGGGAGCTGGGCAGGCACAGCCCAACTCTGAGCGGGGAGCCCAGGCAGCAGCTGGGCTGGGAGCGGGGAGCTGTGAGGTAGCTGAACTCTGAGCAGGGCAGGCACAGCATGCCTGTGAGCCCAGGAGGCAGCCGTCTCTAGCTGGAGTCCCCCACCCACCCTGTGTCAGTCTGGCTTTCTTGTCAATTTCACGGCTCCAGCAAGTAGCCATGAAATTGACAAGAATGACAGCCAACAGCAGATGTAAGTAACACTGTCTATATGGACACTGCATTGCCTTATTTTGGTGTAGTTAAGTCCTATGCCTTTCTTAGAAGTGGAGTTATGTCGTCGGTGCAGTAGGGCACTTACATCGGCGGGAGCAAGGCTGTAGTGTGTACACTGACATACCTGTAATTAGATATAAGCTGCCTTACCTCAATCTATCTCTGTAGTGTTGACCAAGCCTGAGTAATAGGATCAGGTTTCAACCAGTCCACAGAAAACACTTACCTCTTTACAGTACGCATTTGTATAAACGTTTTTGTTGTTAATGAAAAAAAGTTATTTGGCTCAGACTTTTGGCTTCCCCTCCCCCTTGACTACTACTGGAATTTTGACATTTTGAACTATGCTTTAGTCATAAGTAAAGGATTATGACCTCATTACAGGATTAAACAGAAAATGAAGTTAACTGTGAGAAAGCGCTAGTTTAAACACAAACCTTAAGTACTAGCCAAGGGAGCATATTGCAGGAAAAGAATGTGTATCTGAGTTACTTTTGTTTAAATGTTCTATTATTTAAAAATTTTATATGTCTCCTGCCAGCAGAAATGCATATAAGATCTTACATTTTCAGAAGTGTTTAATAATTCTGGGTACTCAAACTCAGACACCCTAAAAGGACCTGCTTTTAAGAGGGTGGGCACTTGAGACATTGTGAAAATCAGATGCCATTAGGGTGTCTTAATTTGTACTCACCAAAATAACTGTCACATGAAAAATTAGGCCAAGGAAAGTAGATCTGAAAGTCTCTGAACAGCAATTATTTGACAACTATAATTAAATAGCTCCCCCAACTACTCTCATTCTCAAAAGTTCTAACTTCACTACATAAATGGTTGTCTCAACTCAACACGAATTTGCTGATAAACCCATTAGTACACATAGCATATTTTGAGGGAGCGGGGAAGCAGTGTTGCCAACATTCATGATATTTGGTATTTTTCTTAGGGCTCCTGCTCCTGAAGTCAAGTCATTACATGAGAAGATCAGCTTTTAGTTAAAATAAAAAGTTTCTAGCCCTCAGGGTTTCAGAGACAAGCCTGAAAACATGATCCGAGTGCATTCTAGAGACTCAAAAACCAGAAGACAAACAAGAACCACCCAAAATTTATTTCAGAGTAGCAGCCGTGTTAGTCTGTATCCGCAAAAAGAACAGGAGTACTTGTGGCACCTTAGAGACTAACAAATTTATTCGAGCATAAGCTTTCGTGGGCCCACAAAAGCTTATGCTCGAATAAATTTGTTAGTCTCTAAGGTGCCACAAGTACTCCTGTTCTTTTTGCAAAATTTATTATGGCTTAAAAATAGTAATATGATTTTGGGGGGGTCTAAAGCATGATTTTTGAACACTCGTTTTTGGCAATACTAGGTATGGGACATGAGATCAGCAGGAGAGTTTTAAATATTTACTCACTTTTGGTTAATGTTTGTAGATCTTCAACACAGGGGGGTCCACTTTTCTTCTCATAAGGAATGACTGTTGTTAAGTACTGTCAAATGAAAAACATGATTATTCAGCAATCACTTTGCTTATAATTTACCCTGCTTGAACTACAAAAAAATCTTACTTATTTTGTAGAATTACAAGATGTTATCTAATAAGATCAGATATTTTGCAAGAAACAAGTTTCTATCTCAATTGTCCTAAATCTACCTCTGTCACAAAAGTCGGTTTTTAATTTTGTCATAAATTACATAAAACACACAAACATGAAGGTGTATTAAACATTTAAGAAAGTAACTGTGTATCATTTAAAGTCCCTTACTCTAACAAGTTCCTTCTATCCCGTGTCATGGATCCTAGTGAGAGTCCCTTCCTGGCCACCTACTAACACTACTATGAGGGGAATTCAGGCCTCAGTGCCCCAGATCCAAAGGGTGCTTTAAGCTCCTGTAGTCTGAACGGAGTCCAGCCACTGCCCCAATCTTAGGGTTCCTATCCACATGCTCAGGGTGCAGACCTTCTATCTGTTACTGCCCTCCGAGTGTCAGAACCCACTGTCCAGCTACCTAGCCCCTCTGGACATTTCAGACTGCCCAGTACTTAAACACAGCCCCTCAGCCAGAACTCAACCCCAAAGGTGTGAAACTTCTGGTTTACAGTTTAACTCCCTCAGGGGGAACACAATAGTTGTGAAGCAGTCAACACAAATACTTTGTCCAATCTACTAACTTTATGCTCTTTATGTTTAATCACGTAAAGCACAAGGCAGTACAGATCACACAAAACAATAAAACGTTCTTGTGAAAACCAGGGTCCAGACTCCCCAAGGGGAAAACAGAAGGTTTAAATTAGGGCTGTCGATTAATCGCAGTTAACTCATGCCATTAAATAAAAAAAGATTAATCACAGTTTTAATCGCATTGTTAAACAATAGAATACCAATTGAAATGTATTAAATATTTTTGGATGTTTTTCTACATTTTCAAATATATTGATTGCAATTACAACACAGAATACAAAAAGTGTACACTGCTCACTTTATATTATTATTTTTGATTACAAATATCTGCACTGTAAAAATGATAAACAAAAGAAACAGTATTTTTCAATTTAACTCATACAAGTACTGTTGTGCAATCCCTTTATCGTGAAAGTGCAACTTACAAATGTAGATTTCTTTTTTGTTACATATCTGCACTCAAAAACAAAACAATGCAAAACTTCAGAGCCTACAGGTCAGTCCTACTTCTTGTTCAGCCAATCACTAAAACAAACAAGTTTGTTTACATTTATGGGAGATAATGCTGCCCACTTCTTGTTTATGAATTCCTTGCGGGAGAATTGTATGTCTCTGGCTCTATTTTACTCACATTCTGCCATATATTTCATATTATAGTAGTCTCGGATGACGACTCAGCACATGTTGATCATTTTAAGAACACTTTCACTGCAGATTTCACAAAACGCAAAGAAGGTACCAATGTGAGATTTCTAAAGATAGCTACAGCACTTGACCAAAGTTTTAAGAATCTGAAGCGCCTTCCAAAATCTGAGAGGAACAAGGTGTGGCGCATGTTTTCAGAAGTCTTAAAAGAGCAACACTCCGATGTTATTACAGAACCCGAACCACCAAAAAAGAAAATCAACCTTCTGCTGGTGGCACCTGACTGAGATGATGAAAATGAACATCTGTCAGTCCGCACTGCTTTGGATTGTTATTGAGCAGAACTCATCATCAGCATGGACACATATCTGGAATAGTGGTTGAAGTATGAAGGGACATATGAATCTTCAGTGCATCAGGCATGTAAATATCTTGCAACGCCGGCTACAACAGTGCCATGAGAACAACTGTTCTCACTTTCAGGTGACGTGAATAAAAAGCAGGCAGCATTATACCCTGCAAATGTAAACAAATTTGTTTGTCTGAGCGATTGGCTGAACAAGAAATAGGACTGAATGGACTTGTAGGCTCTAAAGTTTTGATTTGTTTTGTTTTTGAATGCAGTTATTTTTTGTACATAATTCTACATTTTTAAATTCAACTTTCATGATAAAGAGATTGCACTACAGTACTTGTATTAGGTGAATTGAAAAATATTATTTCTTTTCTTTTTTGCAGTGCAAATATTTGTAATAAAAATAAATTTAAAGTGAGCACTGTACTGTTATAATTGAAAACAATATATCTGAAAATGTAGAAAACATCCAAAAATATTTAAATACATGGTATTCGATTATTGTTTAACTGTGTGATTAATTATGCGATTAAAAGAATATCCTTTCTTCTTGGGACTGCAAGGGAGGGTTTGGACTGGTAGCATTGGTCCAGGACAGTAAGTCACAGATACTTCTTGATAGACTGCAGGATAGGCACATGCAGGTAGGTATACAACCTTGAGATCCAGGGAGCATTAGAATTTGCCCATCTTCACATCTTGAATAAATTATTTTAGAGACTCTCATCCTACAAACATGACATACCTAGGAAGGATCGACCCATTTCAAGTCAAGAATTGGACACAGTCTCCTTGTTTTTGGGACAGTGAAATAGATCCCAATGTCCTTCTCATCTTCCAGGATCAGGGGAATGGGCTGTATCTTTAGGAAATTGTTTAGGGTACCTCAGTTGCCTTTTTGTTGGGCCAATGTGGCACTGTGTAGTAGAATGGAGTTGTAGTACAATGGATCTCATATTGAATCAACTGCATATCCATATACAGTAGTATTGTCCAGGACCCCTTTGATGTTATTTAGGCCCAGGTATGAAAACAGTTCCTCAACTTTCCCCCAATGTTGGGACTTTATATCCAGACTCTAGAAACTTCAGGTTGACTGGTTAAAATTTGAATGAACTCCTCTGATAATTGTTACTTCCTCCTTTGTCAATGAAAGACTGTACATTGTTAAGGCCAACTGCTTCTGTAAATGGCTATGCCTCCTTTTTACTGGATTATAGTTTCTAGTCTCCCAGCATCTGCTCCTCTTTGAACACAAATTCAAGATTCAGCTTGGCATCTCCTGGGATAGGACTTTGCTCTTTGAATCAGCGAAGGACTGTTGACTTTCTCCAAGTCTTACTGAAAGGAAACTGGTCTTTAAAAGGCATGTCTGTTGGCCCGGCTCTGGAAGAAAGAAAACAAACACTAGCCACTGTTTTAGCTACATGGCCTCTCTCCTGGAGCCATGGTAGTCTCAATAAAGTGGCAGAATCATGTCACATGTGAACTCACATTGAAGACAGTGGTGCCCAGAAATGGGAGAGTCTTGGTCACTTCACAGTTTTTATCTTTGGCCTTTGGAGATCTGCTAAGCTTCTGTGACCAGTTCACTGTCCCTGGGAAACATATGCTGCATAAATTGAAGATTGTAGGGAAAGGCTTAAGGTCACAAAGATTATATTCAAAGAGACACCTCATTTTTTCTGTCAAGGAAATCTTTGAGAGCCACACCTCATTCCAGAGTTTGTGCTGCCCTTTTCACTGACCCTGACAACGCAGCATCCATTCTTGGGTTCTCAGTAAACATTTCCACATCTGATGTTCTCAGAGGACAGTGAGATTTAATGCTGCACTTTGGTCACGTTTCCTGTCTCGAATACACCACTCATTGTCCATCTTTTCAGTCATGGATGTAGACATGCAGAGCCATATAAAAGGAAGATAGCATAGGATCCCCTGGCACTGGCAAACAGTCATTCTATGGCTCCAGGGTACATGCTATCATCCTTAAGAGGGTTGGCAGCTCCTCAAAATATGAGGATGTCCTAATTTTGAGACAAGGTCAGGGACTGACTCATTCACCCTCTTCTTCGTCATCCTGCTTGTCCCATTTCTTCGTTATTTTTGCTCTTCTAGAGACACTGAATCTGGACAACTTTGAACTGCCAAGTCTTATGGGGTGCTTGAGGAGGCTTTTCCTGCCCTTCTTTCGAGTTCTTTTCTGGGACTACTGTCCTTTCTCAGGACAGGGGTCAAGTCTTTGTCTGAAATGGGCAGAACTGAGCCTGCACCCATCCTTTACCCATCTTTCTTATTGTGAGGGTTGGAGCTGCTGCCCTACCGCTTAGGCCAAGGTGTAGTCTGGGGACTCCCAAATCTCTTTCTACACAAATGGAGAGTCATACATTGTCAGAGCTCCCTGAGAGAGACCCTTCCTTTTTCACTTCTTTTGCATATGAACCACATTAGGCAACGTTTCACCACAAGATAGATGGCATATCCATTTTTGTGCACCCTACCACCAAGTGCTTTCTGAAAGGCCTCAACAACATTTACCCTGAAGTGTGAGCTCCTACTCTACCATGGGATTTCAGCTTAGTTCTCCAGGGCATCACCAGATGCCCGTTTGAACTATTAACGACATGCTGCTTCTCCACCTGTCAATGAAGATGGCTTTTCTAGTTGCCATTACATCGGCAAGATGGGTGGGAGAATTAGGGTCCCTTGTGGCTGATCCACCCTACACAATATTGTCCAAAGATACAATTACTCTCAGACCACATCCTAAGTTTTTATCTAAGATCACCTCACCATTCCACCTCAACCAACCCATCCACTTACCAACATTCTACACTACAGGTAATCAGGAATTCACACTCCATACCCTCGACGTACACAGGGCCTTGGCATTTTATGCAGACAGAACAAAACCATTTTGCAGGTCCCTGAAATTATTTGTTTCAATCACTGAATGATCAAACGGAGATGCCATATCCAAAAGGATTTCGGATTGCATCAAGCTGTGTTATCACCAACGTAACCTGCAACCCCCTACGGGGATTTGCACACATTCCACCAGAGCAATATCAACTCTGATAGCATTTCTGAACAATGTTCCCGTTACAGACACCTGAAGAGCAGCAAAGCCCTGGGCTTCTGCCCATACATTTACACAACATTATGCATTAGAACAGTATGCAACTTCGGATGCACTACTTGGACTCACTATATTATCATCTGCCATGACTTCAACTTCGAAGCCCTGAAGCCCCTTCCTTCCATAGGAGAGCACTGCTCTGAAGTCACCTAAAGTGGAGCACCCACA